AGGTAGACAAAAAGCATTTAATTAATAATTACAAACCGGGAAGAAAAATGCTCGGGGCTTGCCTCTCTCAAGGAGCTTCGGGCGGTGATCGGGGCACTCGGGAAGTTCCTCAACGTCCTCCTAAATGCCTTGGTCACTTCCTGCGGCTGCACCACGAGCTGCTCCTCGGGCTCCCTTAGAACTGCCTTGTACCGCAGTCGTGGCTGCCTTATTGGACTGCACTGCCATCTTGTAAGGCTTCTATGGTCCCCTGAAATTCTGACCTCTCTGCTGAGGTGGCCTGAACCTAGCGCTAGGTGCAGATGGACGATAGGGAGGACGACCTCCCGCAGGTGCTCTTGCTTGGGACGGACCACCTTCTAGGGCTCTCTTGCGAGTCTTGGCTGCGATGCTGGTGTTGTTGTTCTTTTCCTGCTTTAGACAATCATTGATGAAGTCATTGAATCTGACGCGGGTGTTGGTACCCACATGCTTCATCATCTTTGGATTGAGGCCCCTCTTGAAACTAGCGATTCTCTTAGCATCAGTGTCAACCATGTCGGGAGCATAATGACACAAGTTATTGAAGGCATGCAAATATTGCGTCACAGTCTTGGTGCCCTGATTCAACGCCAAGAACTCTCCCAACTTCATCTCGGTCAGCCCAGGTGGAATATAAACTCCACGGAATGCCTTAGCGAACTCCCTCCACGTAATCTAAGCATTTGGAGGGAAGGTTGTGCGATGGTGCTTCCACCACATTCCCGCTGGTCCTTGCAACTGATGGGCAGCATACTCAGTTTTTAATACCTCAGTCATCCTCAACACACGGAATTTATCTTCCATAGTGTTGATCCATTCTTCAGCATCGAGTGGTTCTGTTGCTTCCTTGAATATTGGCGGCCTAGTGTCCATAAAATCTTTGAAGCTGCTATACTGATTTACCCCAATGCCACCACCCTGATTGTTACCGCGCTGAATATTGTTGGCGATAGTATGCAGAAAATCCTCCATGTTCTTACTCGATTGTTCCGTGTTCTTGTTGACTCGAGCAAGCTGTCTGAGAACACCTCTGGGGTAAACGGGGAAGGAGGTGGCAAATGCGGTTCATGGGGAGGCTCATTGTTGTTGCCGTGGTTTCCACCACCACCACTAGTCCCAGCACCGTTAGCACCGGTCTCAGCGGCCTCATAAGTGGTACGGCGAGTATTTGTCATCTGCATATTTCAGCAACAAGTAATGATTGAGTGAAGCTGTAATAATTGTGAGTGAATGAAAAATTATGCCGAACTGAATTTACTGGAGAGAATAAATTCATACAATAAAACAGAGGCACAATAATCGCATCCCAATTAAAACAACATCACTAATTAAATTACTTCGAAAGCAAATATCGCATCCACACAACCAAATTGCCAGCATACATACACTGGACTTTTATGCGTTCAGATATCGCATTCCTAACCAAGTTCCAATCACATACCAAGTCTCATAACTTCGAAGCAAGATACATTAGCTTACATGCCAACAAAAGAAAGGTCATCACGACAGGACCTAAACACTAGCGCAAGGCAACTAGCCTACTCCTCAGGGCCATCGTCGGGATCGGAGACATCACCATCGCCCCAGGTGAAACTACAGGCTCGTCCTTGTTGTCGTCGTCGATGTCCATGCTAGCGGCGTCTGGAGGAGCATATGGGCCAACCCCATTGTAGAGCGCGTGAAACTCCTCGTGCAGGTTGACGTTGTACTCCTCTAGCTCATCGACTATAACACCCCGGTGTTATGCCTGCATTTAGTCACTGCAAATCATGCATATCATGCATCATCAAGCATTCTAATCACACATGCCTAATCATGTAAATAACAATTGAAACACTGCTTCGAAACATTTGAAACACGTTGTGAAACATGAATGTTGCATACCTTTGTTAGACTTGTTTTGCCCTGATTTTGCTTGCTAGGTTAGTAAAACATGGTTGGCTACTATTGTAAATCATCTAGGATTGTTTAGTTCAAATTTTTGGAGCAAGGTTGTATTCAAATTAATTCGAAATTTGGCTTCAAAAATAAATTCCCCAAAATTAGGGTTTTGAGCTAAAACGTGGACTTTGATCTTACAATTCAAAATCTAGAAAGAATTTGGCTTTGGTCTTAAAAGCAAAGTTGTAGAGAATTAAATTCTAAGCAACTTTCATTTTTGGACTATTTTCAAAAGATATCATTTTCTTGCTCAAAATAATATTTGAAAGATGGCATGTAAAAATTCCTTGAAACTATATTTGGAAAAGTATTTTTTTTTCTTGGCTGGCCCGCCGCTTCCAGCC